AGAAGCGTCAAACTGGGCTCATGGCTTCAGGCTTCTGGCCTTCGTCAGTCCAGAGCTGGCTTGGACTGACAAGGACCATTAGCCCGAAACCATGACCCCCCAGTTGAAGGCTTCTAAGTGTACCAAATCTAATCTTGTGGCTTTGTCACCTACCCGAGAACGTTACTTTACAGAGACGGTTACAGATGGCTCTTAGTTTTAGCGACTATTTTGACGGGAGAGGTGACCTTAATTGATAAGTAAACTTATTGTGCTAACTCTATTTAGAAAGTTTTTTATAAAAACCTTAATAAAACTAGCTAATGTAGTGGTTCAATTTTGAAAAAAAAATCGAATTTGATATGCCATGAAAAAAAAAATTATAAAACCTTTTATTTGAATTTATTTCTCATGAAAATTAATACTTTTTCATTAAGGTACCATATAGATTTACTTCCAAGCCTTCAAATAACTTTTCTAAAGAACGTCCAATCTAGTCGGTTTCTTAGGTCTCCAAATGTACAGGAATCTATGGAAACGGTCCATTATGTATGGATCATAGAATATTGTCGCAGAGATATATAAGCAAAGGCAAATTTGGGAATAATTAATTTATTATAAAGGGTATTTACCTTCTAGTTCTCCAATAAAATTATCTACAAGAGGTATTTATAGGGAGAGAGAGGGTCAGATAATGTAACAACTTACCCCAAGGTAAAGATAATAATGATGAGCGTCGTCAGCCACCAAGGGGTCCCGTTTTCCTTATTTGTCGATAAGATTCCGAGAACCCCTCACACCTGTGGTCCTCCCCCCGGGATCCAGGGATGATTGACAGGTGTCCCATCTGGATGGAGCTTCTTGACAAAATGGAATAACAGAAATTACCGTTTCCTTTTGTTTACGAGCCTATGTAATTCAGGCTTGATCCCCGGATATTGTTCGGATTCTGAGTTTGATAGAGTCTCCGCTGTTTTAAATAAGGTAAAAAACTTAAGTCTGACTGACATCTCGGATACGTAGTTAGAAATATATTTTTTGAACGCTGTTTTTTTAATTAAATCTTTTTTTAAAAGGTATTTTTATTTATTAGATATTTAAAACACAATATCTACCGAATATACTCTAACATTTATCACAGTAACCTAAACTTCAAATCGATCCTAAAAAGGAGTAATCAACTGTCTAGACAAAATGAACTAAATGAATCCATACCCACATTGCAGCAGTGAACAAGATTAATAGATTGAGCAATACAAATTATTCAGTTTTTTGTAAAATAATATAAAGCAATATATGTATATAACGCGCAATCGGTATATAGAAAAATGAAGTCATTTAGACCGCAAATGTTTCCTTTCACACATTTATCAAACTTCTACTGTCCTTACTACTTTGGAAAAATATTGGGAGGGCTTGGTTCATCAGTAGTGAACCCAGCGTTTTCGCTTATTTAATCTACCAGACCGCTTCTTTAGAGCTCTACAGAGTAAGTAATACTGTATTGGATCATTCTGCTTATATATGCTACACTAAAAGGTGGAATCCCAGAAATGGTATTAAAGAAAACTATGGACATAAGATTTTAGGACAGTAGAATTACATATAAATATTTGCATCGAGCAATGCTCTTCCGCAAACAATAAGTAACAGGCCAGTTAGGTATTAATTAATATAAAGCAATAACTTGCCATCTTTATATATCAAATGAAAACATTTAGACGCGAATGTTTCTTTCCCAAGCCCTCCTAATATTCATACATCACAGTAAGGACAGTAGAAGTTTGATATAGGTGTGAAAGAGAAACATTCGCGTCTAAATGTTTTCATTTTTCAAATAATAAATAGCCAATATAAACTTCTCTTAAAATTAAAGATACTTCAACCAGTAAATCTTTTAAAAGTAAAGTTTTTAAAGTTAAAAAGATATTTTGACCGAAGTATCTTTAATTTGAAGAACTTTGAATGCCGGCCAGGCAGCCTCTGTCTTTACGATCATATAAACTTCGATAAACAAAACTCAAACGACGCGACAATCTGACTTTCTCTCAGAACAATTTCTGCTACTGACTTACAGCCATGGGTCGCAATGTGGTGATTGCTCTACACTGAACGTCACCCCGATCGGCACGTAGGTTGTCTGCGGACGATTTGATGCCCCTGCATTTCCTCAAACAGGTTGAATGTGAGACATGCGACCGCAACAACGCTCCAGTTGCAGTCTAGCACGACTCGGGAAGGTCGGACCCCACGAGGGAGCCCGCTATTCGCACCGCGAAATAATGGAAACACGACAAATAACGTTGCAATTCATAGGCGGGATTCCGACTTAGAGCTTACATCCTTGGAGTAGAGAAAATCATAGGAATACACTCGAACGAAATTTCTATATACAGTTTCGAGCGTCATTCCTCATCTCTGTCACAGTTTGCTTTTTTTTTTTTTGGAATGGCGCCCTCCTATTGGTTGGCTACGATCATGCCCCCCCCCCCCCCCCACTCGCTTTTTTTTTTGGAATGGCGCTCTCCTATTGGTTCGCTACGATGGCGCTGCCAATGCGCGAGACACTTCTGTCACCGTTTGCTTTTGGTTCAGTGGTAGAATGCTCGCCTGCCACGCGGGCGCCCCGGGTTCGATTCCCGGCCGATGCATTTTTTTTTTTACAATTTTTAAAACTCATTTATATATTATACAAGAATGACATCCACGGCGCCAATTTATAATTGTAACGAATAGTATTTTAATAAAAGCATTTAATCAGGTAAACCCCGGGCGTTGCCTGGGTCATTCGGCTAGTGGAAATATAACCGGCATCCTAACAACAGACAAATAAGAAGACAACCCTGCCAACCAAGCCAATCTCCATAAACAGAAATAAAATACTATGTAAACAATATACCTTGTAGCTTCTGTCCATCTTTATAAATAGGGAGAAACAGGAAGACCCTTAGAAGAACGATTAAATCAGCCTAAATTAACTTAATAGAAATATTTCTTTACTACTCTAGGGACCAACAGCAGGTGCACCTACCTCTCTTTCCTTCTCCATGACGTCTACAAAGCTGAGACAATGGAACCTAAAGGAAATCGTTTAAACGACTTGAGGAATTAGCTCTTAATACTGTCATATCCAAGTCAATCGTTTTATATGGTAGTCATTTTATTCTCTTTTTTAAAATTGTTTTTTCTGTTTTAGAAATTAAAAAACTGAAGCATTTGTGAATATGAATTTTAGATTCCTTTTTATTCATATTAAATTAAAGAAAATAAGATACAAATGATAATTCAACTTTATTCTTCGAGGAACAAAAGGTAACAACAGCCATTCGATGCGTGCGCCGGCCGTTGGATGCGTCTCGTAACATCACTCAAGCTCGAAGGACGTGTGCGGCGGGCAAAAAATATATAACTTTATCTCCTTTCCTTTATATTACAAGGTATATTACAATGAATAATAATAAAAAAGGATGGTCAAGACCAGACAGGAGGGGCAGTGAATGGCCAGCAAATAGAGCTAGAACTGCTGCACCCAGAGGAAGGGAGATTAAACAGTGCTGCAATGCTAACAAAGCTCAATCCCCCGAACATTGGGTTGTGTTGGGTCAATTTGAGTAGAGTTTTTAAGGCATTGACTCTGATCCCTTCCACAGATTCAGCAGCTAATCTCGTGTAAGATCACATCACTACGTCCTCCTGTCCACCGGACCATCCGACCGTTGATGTCGCCTCTGACTTATATAGCCAGCACGTCGACACCACAAGTCTCAAATGGTATTTAACGATTGCTTCATTTATACAGAACTTTCCCGATAGATTTCTATTTCATTTATTCCAAAATGATCAAAATTCACAAAGTTTTTCATAAATATTTACCCGTTTTTATTTTAAATTAGCTTTTAACAATTCTCATGTTGTCATATTAAAAATCAGATATCTCCAATTTTAGATGCTTATATGAATAGTTTCAATATTAGTAAATATAGGGGGTAAGGTTTAAAATGAGATATAACAGATTTTTGATAGATTTTGACTTTTTCCTCACACGAGGTTTTAATTAGAAATCTAACTCGGGTATTGGGTACGTATTGCCATCTATTAATAAAACTTGAAACTATTTTACTTATTTTAATTAATATTTTGTACACTCAATAATTACTATCACACATAGCATAATATTAATTGTTTTTATTTTATAGTATTTATAAAAATTCAATAAAATATTCTGAATATAGGTGATAGGTTTATAATCATATAAAAATGTTCTTTCTAATTGTAAATAGTGGAACGCTTCACGATTTTGGGTGTCATCCTTGCTCAGGGGCCATTGCTAATTTTCTCTGTATCGTTCCTATTGTAGTATATGTACCACCGAACAAGCATGTACATGTATGTATGTATGTAGTGTACATGTATGTAAATAGTGGATGTTGTGAAAGTACTTACTCCTGTTTTCAAAGAGATGAAGTTGAGTCTCTTGGATTATCAATTTTTTTTTAAAATCGCACGGACAAAAATATCATATGATGGAACTCCTCATTCTGATATCAAAGCCAAGGTAAGCAGCAGAGAGACACGCAGTACGTGGTGACGTCTGCCCGATGATAAGACAAAGACAATCTAACAATTCTCTACTTACTTCACTTATCCAAGATGTTTGGGTTATCTCACCAGATGGTTATCTTCTTTGATTCTTGGACCAATCCTTTGTGAGGATATCCACTTTCCAGTCTTCAGATGGCATTTAGGCTCGTAACGGTCTTTATATGTCAACAGCGGCTGTTTGACGGAGAGGCAGTTGACTACTTAGTGTTTCATAATTTCCCATTCTTTCAATTTTTGAAGCAACTTTGTTATCCACTTGATTTGACAGAAGCCATTACAAGTAGTTACCACTTTAGAGAAGGCTACAAGTGGTTGTTCGCAGATTTTCCAATCAAGAGTTGTATCATCAAGATTCAATGTCGCCGTTGGATTTCCCATCATATTTGGTTGACAAGTTGGAATCATTTGCTTATCATTACTCCCAAGTGGTCAAGTGGTTAGGATATCTGGCTTTCATTCAGAAGGCCCGGTTTCGTTTCCCGGCGTGGGAACTTTTTTTATTGGTCTTCTAGATTAATTTAACAAATTTGGCCAATTAACCTTAACTAAATACAAATTGGCTTCATTGTTGTAGTTTAGGTTTTTCGTCTCTTTTCTAAATTTCAATCCCTAGATCCATTGTTCATCTTAGTTATCTCAACACTTTAGTGTTTCGCCCTTTAGAGCGAAATTTTGGGTAAAATTTTATATATTCAAAAGGTGTTAGACATTATTTAATATTAACAATTATTTACCTACCTAAAATAAGTTAAAATACTTTATATAAATTGCCCTTATATGAAATAAAAATAATATATATAGTGCATTTAAAAATTCTTATATATAGTTATTGAATCAAAATTATTTATTGAAAAAAATATAATACAAACTCTGCCGGACTCTGTATTTGCAAAACAAAGATTTACTGGGGAGAAAAATATGAAAATTCCGGGGTAAAGTTAGCTACCAAGTTACGTGAATGATATAATTTGCGCAGCTATCCCGCGCATGTTGACTGAGATATAAGAGGAGGAACTTACAAATTTGACAATATTGTCAGGGTCGCCGTCAGACGAGGTAGTTCCAGCAGACAGACGTATTTACGAGAGGGGATTGGACTCAGTCCATAGTTGTCCATAGTCAACTCTCTACGGATAGATATCTCAATGCGTCCACAGTGTACTGGCTATGGCGAACAATGACTATGACTGGAACAAGAAAATGTGACACGATTAAAGGGTGCTGGTTTGGTCAGAGTGACGTCATCACACGTGGACCGACGCATTCGGCGGATGGAGTTGGCGGTCCCACAGTTCACTTCTGTCGCTGTTTTGCAGGATGTACAAGATACTCTTGATTCTCCCATATCGACCAGAATCATTATACGCTGATTGGTCTCCGACGGCCTACACTTATAGCGCCCGTTAAGAATTCTGCCATTGATCCAACGGCACAGACACCTCCGTTTGTAATTTTGTCGGGATAGATCCATACGGACAGCCGAATGACACAGGGTAGAGTTCACAAATGAATCTCGGTTATTGCATTAGCAATGACAGTCACGGAGCAAGAGTTTAACGCCGTCTTGGTGACAGGTCCAATCCATCTGTGGAGCGTGCACCTCACGACAACGCGGCATTATGGTTTGGGAGCCATCGCTCCTATTAACTATAATATTATATTTATTTATTTTGATATTTATTTTTGAAACATTTATAGTTGTGCTGTTTTAAAAGGCTTATATTTGATTATTTACATCACATATTATTTTTTCCGAATATCTATTCTATTCTACGAATATATTTCCACTTAAATTACACACACCATATACAAACATTTAATATGCAGAATTTATAAAATGATAATTTTCCATCGTTACTCTTCAATATAACGTCACAACTTCGTAATTATTACTATAGGTTGTAGTTGAAATATTCAAAATAGTAAATTTTAAAATTCATTCTAGTTAATAAAAATGTTTATAGATTTCTAGAATAAAATTCAACATTATTTATAGCTCTAGTTTCATTTTAACTACTTATTTTTATGGAATGTCAGCCGCGGTCCATGTCTTGTAAACCTTGTGACCATCAAGATGGTTTGAATTGGTTCAAGGCCAAAAGTCAGACTTTAACGTTCCCAAATAGATATACAAGCGAAGGGAAAAATCTTGCAGCCCTTATATGAATCAGTATGTTTTCATTGGATTTATGCCAAGAGCCAAATTGTACAGCTCTGGACTCGCCACAGCGGTTTTCACTCGTGCTTTTCCAAAGACAAGATTTTCAAGCACATGGTGAAATGGAGGAAAAATTGCTGTATTATTTTGTTGTTATATGGCGAATCCATACAGGGCAATGGGCCCTGATAAAAGCCTTTTTGTTGTTGTTGTTGACAAGATTTTTCATCCCTTGTGTACTCAAACTGGTTCCACGAGTGTTGACAAGAGGTAGACATTTCTACTCTGAACTAACCCTAAAGATATCCACGAGTCTCATTCCGAGGGACAGATATTGCAATCTTCATAGATGAATATACCATTTCAAGACATCTACGACAAGGACCATATTTTGCAGCTCTGGCGTCTTATTATTATTCTACATTCGACTTTTTTCATATATTTTGAACACATTTTCTATCCATTAATATCCATTTGAAAACAAAGCTGAAATTATTTTCGTATTTACCACAATAAAAATAAGGTTCTTTCTAACGCCAACAAATAGAGAGATTATGATTGATTTTAAACTCATATTTTATTTTCACATACATACAGCTTTGAAAATTCGAAACTATTATAGACGCGTATGATTCTTTTAAAAAATGAAACAATTTCTACTGCCCTTACTGCAATGGAAAAATTAGTGGGAGGGCCCTGGCTTATCAGTGGTGAACCCTCCCAGCGGTTTCGCCAGTTTAATCTACCATACCGCTGTTATATTGCATTTTTCAAACTTCCTTTTATAGTGATACTGATGTTAGACTCTTGAATTGGTATTTTAATGAACTATGGACATGAGCTTTGAGGACAGCAGAATTAAATATAATTATAAGTATAGAAGCAATGGGCGCTTCTCCCGTCAAAATAAACCTCAGAATCTGACGCCATCTATTGACCGTCGCCGCAACTAGCGGCATCGGGTCGGTGACAAAGCCACAACACCAACTTTGGAAAACTGATAAGCGTCCACCTAGAGACCATGGTTTCGGGCTAATGGCCCTCGTCAGTCTAGGGCGGACTTTATTCCATGAGATCCAAACGGGATCTAATGGAATCCTCACAATCTACCAAAGAGGTGTTTTGCTGGCAATGTGGCTGGGCCAAATCTATCGCTAGAACATAGATGGAAAATTTGCCGGGAGGAAATTAATCCATAGAAGCAATGGGCGCTTCTCCCGTCAAAATAAACGTCAGAATCTGTCGCCATCTATTGACCGTCGAGGGCCATTAGCCCGAAACCATGGTCTCTAGGTGGACGCTTATCAGTTTGCCAAAGTTGGTGTTGTGGCTTTGTCACCGACCCGATGCCGCTAGTTGCGGCGACGGTCAATAGATGGCGTCAGATTCTGACGTTTATTTTGATGGGAGAAGCGCCCATTGCTTCTATGGATTAATTTGCTCCCGGCAAATTTTCCAATTATAAATATATAATACGCTTTAAGCAATCGCTCTTCCGCAAACATCAATTTGTGTTTTTGTTAGAGCAATTATATTATAATGTATTAGCGCGTCATCTGTTATGAAAATTCGAAATCATACGCGTCTATAATGGTTTCGAATTTTCATAACAGATGGCGCGTTAATGCATCATAACATACAGCTTTGTTAAATGGACTTTATTTAATTTTAAATATTATTGGCGTATTAATCATGTAAAGCATTTTCTCCCGTAGAAGCGCTTACTTGCCCGAAAGCTCGAAATATTTTTTAAAATAAGCTTTGTTAAAACCACTGATCTAATACAGATTCACCACAGGAAGGAAGCATAGATGGAGCTCCTAAACTCCAGACAGCACAGAACCTAGTAACAGCCTCCAGGTCCGACACATGTCCAGCGGCCACAGAATCCACCGTGTATATGTCAATTTTAAGAAAAGGACATTTCATTCAGTGGATAAGTTTGATATTCAGCAGATCCTTTCTTCGAGTTAGTTCACCTAGGCATTTGGATAATTTATACATACAAGGTCGTCCCAAAAGTTCATAAACACTTGAAAAAAATTTGAAATACCAATATTATTCGCCGTTATGTATAATGTCTTTGTATTATGTATTATTATTCTCATGCCCAGCAATGGCCGCAGCCTTGCAGAAAATTGACACTCAGAGCAGCAGCCTTCACACACCCAAGATAGTAGACATTGCTGCTGCTGTGATAGAGATGCATGGAGACATCTGAGGCTCTTCATTGGACACGACAACAACAACATTATGTATTATTATGTATTCGCCGTAATAATATTATTCGCCAAATAATAAGAAAAACAACGTTTTTAGAAAAACACGAACTTTTGGGTCAACCTTATAGTTTGAACAATATATTCTGATCAAAGAAGGAAGAAGTTAAATGTTATATGGTTTGAATTACTAGTCTTACTTTTTTGTTTCGCAGTTTGGAGATCATGGAGATCCTATATAAGGAAGTTAGCTTCTTAGTTTGAAATTAAATTTCTATATTCATGTAGCCACACAAGACTGCGGTTATATCTTATCACCGAACATCACCTAATCAGGTGGTAAAAAGATTGAATAAAAGTAAGTTTCATTCTTTTTAAAGGCCTTTATGCCGCAACTTTTATATAAAGATCTTAGACAATATATAGCTCGTTAAACATATTCGAAGATATATATTTTTTCATATATAAAAATATCAAAATTCAAATTTATATATTTTCTTGATGATTTTTCAAAATTTTAAAATTGTATAATTGTTGTTTTCATGGGGATCTATATTTTGGGAAAACTTTTTCTCTCTAAATTTTCTTTATATAAAACACGAGGGGTGTCCCATAAGTCCGTGGCCCGACATATAAAGAAAATGACTAATAAAATGATTATGATTTATTTTTCAACATAATCCCCTTTAAGGTCTATATAATTTTTCCAGCCATGTTCTAATGCTTTTATGCCCTCCAAAAAGAACGATGTTTCAAGTGACTCAAAAAATGAGGTTACAGCATCAATGACCTCTTCATCTGACCTAAAATGAATGCCAGAAAGTGATTTTTTCAAATGAGGAAATAGGTTGAAGTCAGACGGAGCTAGATCTGGTGAATAGGTGCATGTGGTAAAAGTTCAAAGTCAGAATCATAAATAGCAGCCATGGCTTGCAGCGACCGATGACTCGGAGCATTGTCTTGATGGAAAACAATCTTCCTGGACGACATTCCTCTTCTCTTTTCCTTGATAGCTTCTCGTAGTTGCTTCACAAGATTTGCATAATAATTGCCAGTGATGGTTTGACCCTTATTCAGAAATTCTAGAAGAAGTACACCCTCGATATCCCAAAAG